GAACCTGGAAGCTGAGTCCCTCTGGCCCCATGGAGAAGGATGTGGCCTTACGTACAGAGTTTGATCCCAAAACAAAAGGACACCCAACTTCATAAACAGTCCTGAAATCAAGACTCACAGAACGCTTGTGTGACTCACACTGGTGACAAAAATACATGATGGCCCACACACTATGGTATCAGAATAATCCTCAGATGTCCTTTCTCCCGGGGGCAGTGCCTCCAGCAACAGAGTCCCTGAACGAAGGGGCCGAGGAAAGCCAGCCCGCAACGTGCCGCGTCGGTGCCAGTAGTTCCGTATCCCCACTCAGCAAGCCAGGCACAGACTCTAACTGCCGTGAGCTGCGGACCACCCTCCTGCTAACCTGTGACCCACACCCTCTGCAACTCCACATACCTCTTCGAGTGGCTTTATTTTACCTCAAAAGTAAGCCACGCCTTGAAAATTTGACACCAGGTAGATTTCGTAAATTGTCGAGAAAGGCCAGCAATTCAGTCAGCCGTCCTGTTCTCATGAGCAGAGGCTCAAGGATGCTGGGCGCCGCGCAGGGAGACAAGGAAGGAGGACATTCTCCCGACCGCTCAGAGGAACTGTCCAGACAGGACGCCACATCTCGAGACGGCCACCAAATAAATGCCAAAGGGAGCTGAGTTTACAAGACAGGGGCCTGGAACAGTGTGTTTCTGTGTTAATGAACAGCAGCCTCCTTCCCAATCCTACCGCAATAGACCCAATTCCTTGGATTGTCGGAGATGATTAGAAAAAAGGAAAAATTAAAAAATAAATTCTTTCATCCGGCCACTGAGGCTCAGTGGTTGAGCGTCAACCCATGCACCAAGTGGGGGGCATGCTGGAGGCAGCCAATTGATGTTCTCTCTCATCGATGTTTCTATCTCCTCTCTCTTTAAAATCAATAAAGGAAAAAAAAAATTTAAAATAAATTTTTTCAAACTACTTAAAATATCCTAAAGTTACAAAAAAAATCTTTTTTTTTTTTTGGTTTTAAATTCCTATAACCTGTCTCCTAATTAGAGCAGAATTTTTTTTTTTTATCCTCACCCGAGGACATTTTTTCATTTTTTTTTTTTGTACAGATAGAGTGGGGGGGAGAGAGAGGAAGAGAGAGAGAGAGAAACATCGACGTGAAAGGGACACATCGAGTGGCTGCCACCTGCACGACCAACCAGGGCTGGGGACAAACTGCAACCGAGGTACACACCCTTAGCGGGAACCAAACCCGGGTCTAGAGCAGAAAATTTCAATGTACAATCTATTCCAGCGAGAACACCTTGACTTTATTTTTCATTTTTTAAAAATGCATCTTTACTTGTGAAAGTATTACAGATGTCCCCTCTTTTCCCCCATTGACTCCCTCCTCCTCGTTCCCACCTCCTGCCCTCACCACACTATTGCCTGTGTCCACTGGTTATGTATATATGCATAAAAGAACATCCTGCCTTTAAAATGTTAAATTCCAAGGAACAGAAAGGAAGGAAGAAGGGTAAAAATTCTTGGCAATTTCCTACAAATTTCTAAACAGATAAATATTTCCAAGCTATAAACTAATGTTCTCAAGCTATGAGCTGTCAGAGTCTGCGCTGCAGGAAGGCACGGGAGAGAAACTTCGATGAACGGCCAGTCTAGGACCAGAGCAAACAGGTGCTGCCATGTCCGTGTGGCCGCGGCATTGAGACACACTCGATGCACGTGCAGCAAGCAGCAGGGACTGGCACTTCCTTATCTACAGGCACGACATGTCCACAGGTCTGTCTCTGGGTCCTCTGCTTTCGTTTGAAAGAAGCTAGATCAAATTTCAAACCTCAGGTTTGTATGACTCCTATGTCAACAAAACCCACCTGTAGAAGAAACTGCTTCCATTTATGGTCTTGATGACTCTTTGCTAATTCATACCTTAAAATACAAGGTGTGTTCAATACTGCAAAGAAACGTATTATGCACTAACTATATTGGTTAACTTAATTACAATGTCCAATTGAGCAGAGTTATTCTTAAACCCACAGGATATCTCTAGTACTTGAATATATAGCAATAAGTCTAATCATTCCATGTTACCCAACATGAAAATCAATAACAGAAATAAAGCCATAAGTTAATGAAATCAATACAGACACCAGAGGCTCATCCTACAAACCTTCACGACTAAATGATGACCACAAGAGGATAAGGAATGCAAATGTCCAACCTCTAATACTAAGTCCAGAGACTAGACGTAGTTTACCAGATGCTACAAACAATTTTTAAACATGCTTTATAAAGCTTCACATTTTTTAAGCATAACTCTGCCACAAAAAAAGAGAGGTTAACCTGAAAACACTAATTTAGCTTTTCAAATCAGTTATTCAACCCACTGATCGTATATATGATGTTGATAACTTGAGCTTATGTGTGTGATCTTCAGTCAAGTCCTCACAAACCAGTGACAGATGGAGAGATTTAACCAGGGTTCTCTAGCACATTCCACACCTGTACCTCCACTGAGAAGCAGGTGTTTCCATTTTGGCAAAATAAATCTCTAGAAATTAAATAAAGAATTTACTCAGGCTATATCATGAGAAAATACTTATTGAACATAATCTGTATCATAATGCACTCAATTAGTATGCTTGATATTACTCATTCCTTGAATACGTAAATTCACTTAAAAATGGTCAAAGATTAAGCAAATTAACTGTTTCTGCTATTAACCATTTATTTTACAAAATTATGCTTATAATTTAAAAAGGAAAAGAAAAGAAACATATTTATCTCTCTTACCTTTCTATATTTCATAATATTTTATACATGAAACTTTTAAAAATATATAAACTATTTTTATAAAGAACCAAATATTTAAGTATCTGAAGCAATCACTTATATGATACTCTCCTTAAAAATGTTATTTAAATTTCTTAGAATGTCGCATGAAGTGATCTGTTTTTATTTGGTCTTTCACTTAAGGTTACGAAAATCTGTCTGGACAGCGATCAAGCCGTCCTCGCTGCTATGCCAACAGTTCTTGTTCTTCGTTCACACAACACACTCTACTACTTTATACAACCAAAGTATAAAAATGCACATGTTAGAGATCAACTATATCCAGCATGAAATATAAATGTGCAAATTGCTCATTTTTAGTTAGATTAAGTCTCCCAGTTCCAATAATGTGTTCATGCTTTAACTTTGGACATTTTTCTGGGACACCTCAGTGGGACTGCAGCTCAAGCCAGGATTACCAGGGAACTGCAACAGCTGAGGAAAATGAGTACGTTATTCAAACCATTTAGTAAAAATTTTAATTTTAATCATTTTTAAAATAACATTTTAAATAACAAAAACATTTAGGAATGATGTCTATTTTTAAGATGAGATGGAAATGGTTTAACACATTTGCATTTGGATAATTTACCCACCATGGGATGTAATATCCTTAAAAGGAATATTTATTTCAATTAATTACTTTGATATAATATCAAACATTACCTTTAAATTGAGCAGAAATTACTACTAGCACGAGCCCATGTTATCTATTCTAAGATTTGTTTCTCAGATCTAAAAAGTCAACTACTAGAGTCAATAAAATAGACATATTTCTCCACATTTTATTACTAATTCATACAACTTTAAACAATCTAAAATATAGACAAAACAATTATTATTTCTGTGAACAGTGTACAACAATTTGTCTTAAATCTTAAATCTATAAAAACTTAGTGACTGTCAATCTTCACCCAAGCAGAACAGGAAGATTTAATATATAATCTATTCCCAAGAGAAAATCCTGCTTTTAGTTAGGGGGATGGGGCGGGGTGGAGATAAAACATCTATTAATCGAGGCAATATCCAGAACTTCAATCACATTGGAGTAACATTTTATTTTATGCTAAACTATTTGGGTCTTTTTTGCTTTAACAGAATTTTAATTGTTTGCTTTTTTCCATTAAAGAGTTTTATTATTTCATCACTACATTTAAAAAAGTCTTTGCAAATATAAAACAATTGACTTTAAACTTATTTTTAAAGAATCTTTTTCCTACCTCCTAGTAAGGATCACATACTGATTTCCGATTATAACACATCACCCCTTTATCTGCTTTAACAGTAAACTTTAAATAGTGGGAGATGTTTTTTGACCACACAAATGAAAGCAGAAACAGCCATGAATCACCGGTGTGTAAAGTTCACATTGTTTAATGAACAGCAACACTCAGGACTCTCCAGAATGAATCAATTAGTGAATGGGCTAAAACTTTTTAAGTCAGGGAACTTCTCTCTCTTTCCTTCCATCGGTCATATTTAAGAGCTGGAAAGTTTGTCTTTAAACTAAAAGTATCTCCCCATGTGATGTGGGGGACACGTGCGTGGGATGGAAGTCTGTTCTCAGATGTTATAATTTTCCCTGTAATTAGGAAGCTGTATGTCCCTGATCGAATGACACTAACAGGCTGCTGCAGTCTCCACTCCAGCAAGGAATCAAAGACCCACAGCAGACAACTCACTTCGGTTAAAGGGTCATGCACTCTGGTTGTTAAAGCGTAGGAAGCTCTTCGTTGGTGTTATATCTGCAAAAAGAGTCGGGTTCTATGGCCAAGATTATTTACTAAATAAAGAAGAAAATTAAAGAATGGCCATGGAATGTATTGGGGGGAAATGTATGTAAGTTATTCAAAGAGGCTCATTTTAGATAACTTGTACATTCTGAAAGTCTCCCAAAGACAGATGGAAAGATATCGCTACAGCAGACACCTATTCCTGCTTGTGGTTTCTCAGGGAACATCCCTCTCCCCCCAGTAAGTGAGGGCGCCACTAAGTTTACAGGAGTTTGCAGCTGTCTTGTAAAATACAAACCCATGGAGGAACCAGTGGGGTTGGCAATGACGAACATGATTCAGCCAGGTAGACAGGATAAACACATACACATGCAGATAAATAAAACACCTAGAAAATGGAAAATGCTGGTTTGGCAGAGGGCTTGGTCCAACCAACAAGAGCAATTCACGTACCTTAAGGACTTCCATCGGCACCTGCGTGGCAGAGGAAAGGGTGGTGGGCACGCTGACGTTTATGGCTGGTGTCTGACTCACAGGCACTCTCTGTTGCATGAACTGGGCCGCCTGCAGCTTCTGCTGCTGCTCCCTGCGCTCCTGCTCCTGCATCTGCTCACGCATGAGTTGCTGGCGTAGCAAGATGCGTGATGTCATACTGGAGGAGCTTATCGGAGGCTTGGAGGCCCCAGGATGCTCCTCGGAACTGCTGTGGGAAAACCAAAAAACACACTTTAGCTTCTTAATGAGACCTTTCGTTTGCATTTTGGGGTATCCTAAATTGCAGCAAACTATGAAATGAGCCTGTGCAAATGCAATCAAGTTGCACAATAGTCTCCACATAACTGAGAATCAAGTAGTGACAGCCCTGAAGTCTGAGCAGTCGAATTAAAATCAGTCATCCTGATTACATCTGGGCATGTGGCTTAAACTGGGTTCTCTTCTGACATTTCATATTCACCATCACCAAAGACAGCACCCCACACACAGGGCCATGAAGCAACGCATGCAGTGGCACCCAGATGTCCACATTCAAAAGTGAATCGCCTGATTTGCTTTTTTATAACTGATTCTAATATAGTAACTACTCCTACATGTTATCCCAACTCCTTCAAGACATCTAAAATGTTTACTAACATGGGGTACTCTAAAGAAAAGATGTATTTTGTCAATGGGGAAATTTTTCTAAGGTATGGGAAGTAAAAATCATTAATGAAAGAAGTATTTGGAGGATAATATCCGCACTGCACTCAACCTCAGCCTTTGGAAAAGGGGGCAAAGGACAAGCTGGTTTGACATCCAATTCTTTTCCACCTGGTTGTCTTCTCCTCTGGTTCATTTTGGCATGCCCTCTCCTATACCCACTCTGCAAGTTACCCATGAAGCCTGCTTCCCATGGCTGGGACTTAGTCTCCCCAAAATTATTTAAAATGCTTAGACATGCCTGGCCAGTGTGGCTCATGGATTGAGCACCGTCCCGTGGACTGAGAGGTCCCAGTTCGATTCCTGGTCAGGGCACATGCCCGGGCTGTGGGCTTGATCCCCAGTAGGGGGCGTGCAGGAGGCAGCCAATCAATGTTTCTCTCTCACACTGATATTTCTCTTTCTCTCTCCCTTCCTCTCTCTTTTAAAAAAATCAATAAAAACATATTTTAGAGGCTTAGACACTAGTCATAAATGAAGAAGACAAGACTTTCTAATTTTCCTGAGTATGGTTTCAATCGCTTATCTTCCCAGTTCTATGACATTAGCAGCTATGAACACATTCAGAAAAGAAGAATGACAACAGTTTTTGCCCAATTATCCACTTATCAAAGTGGGGGTGTTTTGTTAAATTTCTACTGCATCATTATATTCTAAAGCCCTAGCTCAAAAGGATTTGTGAGGATTAGATAAAATAATAAAATAATGCATGAAACCCCCCCAGTACAATGAGTACCATGCTTCAATAAACAGCTGCTGTTGCTATTACTATGTAGAAAATTACCTTTTTATTTCTAGCAATATACTTTTCTAAAAAGTATGTTTAAGACAAAGAATACAAAATCTTAGCCCCAGGAAATGGAGACAAGGTAACATTTGAGAAAATATCCACTGCTATGTAAGTCACTCTTCCAGGGAAGCACCGTTTTGGAGCATAACTCCAGTATAGTCTTCAGCTCTAACAAAAAACAAATAAAGCTTTAAATGATTGACCATCCTCATGAACCCCTCAGACTCTGCATCCCCTGCCCACACGCCCAGAAAAACTACATCACAGAACTCACACTAGCTCCAGTGAACAGTGGTAGGTCCATATAATGTAACACTGTGCAGCCATTAAAAATGGTAGAGAAATATATTTATTGCTCTGAATAAAACCACACAGCATAATAAACTTATTTTTATCCATTCTTTTAAGGCATACTTTATTTTTTACTTATTTTATTTCATTTCATTTTTTTAATTTTAATTTTTCAGTTACAGCTTATATTCAATATTATTTTGTGTTAGTTCCAGGTGCACAGCACAGTGGTTAGACAATCATATACCTCACCATTTGCAATAGTATGAATGGACCGAACAAGTCAGTCAGAGAAATACAAATACCATATAATTTAATTTATATGTAGAATCTAAAGAACAAAACAAAACGGAAACGGACTCACAGACACAGAGAACATATGGTTGCCGGAAGGGAGGGAGCTTGGGGGATTGGGTTAAAGGGGGAAGGGATAGCCCTGGCCAGTGTGGCTCAGTTGGTTGGAGCACCATCACCCTGTGCACTGAAGGACTTTGTGTTTGATTCCCAGTTAGAGCACATACCCAGGTTGAAGGTTCAATCCCCAGTCAATCCTTGGTCAGTGCATGTACCAGAGGCAACTTATCAATGTTTCTCTCTCACATCGATGTTTCTCGCTCACACACACTTTCTCTCTCTCTCCCTCTTCCTTCCCTTCTCTCTCTAAAACTTAATAAAAAATTAAATGAAAAACATCCTCCAGTGAGGATTGAAAAAAAAAAAAGGTGAAGTGATTGAGAAGTACAAATTTGTAGTAAAAAAAAATAGTCCTGGGGAAACAGGTTTTAAAAAGTGAACCATCCCAGCGGGTGTGGCTCAATGGTTGAGCATTGACCCATACATCAAGAGGTCTCTGGTTCAATTCCCAGTCAGGGCACATGCCCAGGTGGTGGGACTGATCCCCAGTGGGGGGCATGCAGGAGGCAGCCAATCGATGTTCTCTCTCATAGATGTTTCTATCTCTCTCTCCCTCTCCCTTTCTCTCTCTCTAAAAATAAACAAAGAGCCCTGGCCGGTTTGGCTCAGCGGTTAGAGCGTCCGCCTGCGGTCCAGAGAGACCCGGGTTCGGTTCCCGCTAAGGGCACGTACCTCGGTTGCAGTTTGTCCCCGGCCCTGGTTGGTCGTGCGGGTGGCAGCCACTCGATGTGTCCCTTTCACATCGATGTTTCCCTCTCTCTCTCTTCCTCTCTCTCCCTCCTACTCTGTCTGTACAAAAAATGGAAAAATGTCCTCGGGTGAGGATAAAAAAATAAATAAATAAATAAATAAATAAATAAAAATAAACAAAGAAAAATTTTTTTTAAATAAATAGAAAGTGAACCATAATACAGACATGATAATACAGATTTGATAATACAGTATTTTTTAAAATACAGACTACAGAGAAAAGTGGAAAATGCATGTAATAAGAGTCCATTAAACAGTACTATTAAACATGAATTTACATTCTAATTTTAAATAAGTAAGTGTGTGCATGCTCACAGACACACGTGGCCTGCAGGGCTACAGAACGACGGCCCTAGTTGCCAGAATGGGAGAGGAACTATAGGTAAATCTCTATTTTAGTCTTTTTCCTCCTAAGCTAAATAAAGCCATAATGATTTTTCTCAATGGCAGAATATATGCTGCTAATTTAGGAACACGAGAAAATGACTTGAGTGATCAAAGTCACCATTTGGCTGGAAAAGGAGACCAGATCCATGATAGACAAAAAGACAGGAACACAGTGACTGTCTCCAGCACACTGGTTCCCTTGGAAGTCTTCAGGTTCCCAGAACAACTCAACGCTCTTTTTCTACAGACACACGTAGATTGAACAATGTTGCTACCCTGCTTATGGCTGTAACACTATGAACTTATCTGCATCATGAAAGTAGCCATTACCCAAGGTAATCTATTTACCTGGCAAAGATCTACTAAAAGACCATCAAAGGTAAAATTACTTTCCTAAATGAAGAAAAGAAGGGCAGGGGTAGAGGTACTATTAAAATAAATACATAAATAAATAAACAAACAATAAAAGGTCTTAATATTCAAAGCCTGTCAGGCTAAAATGTTTCTAGAGAGGCTGATCCTTTTGATGAAAACGGAGCAAACCTTGGTGCCCTAGCAAATGCAGCTGTGGAATAATCGCACTAATTAGCTGCTCAGGACAAGCCATGGGCTGTGATACTGGGGGAAAATCTATCCAATTAACAGTAAAGCATTCTTGAGACACCTTGAATTAAAATTACGAGTTAGCAACCACATAAAGGCTTCGGACTCCAAAGTTGATAACAATATCATTTAAAGTATTTACTGAAATATCCAATCAGAAAAAAATACATATTTAGACAGTAGATCCATATAAATAAAAGAAAACGCCACTCACGTAAATCTAGCAGAGCTCACTAATTGACATTATTAACTGATCTTCCAAAAACAAAGTGCAAAGGAAGATTGTAGTCACTTCGCTGCACACACTCCCTGCAGGCATTTCTCAGTCATTAACATAATCCCAGAGTCTCAGCTTTACTCTCAATCTTTTAAACATCCCTTTCTCTGAGAAATAACTGAATCTGTAATCACCTTACAGATCAAAATGAAGATATCCACACGTCTAAATGTTAGCAAGACAAATGAGCATAATGTTTTAAACTCATAATTGAGGTGAGAACATTACAAGTGACCACAAAGTGTATTTTTAAAATGAGAACCTGAAGCCACTGATGGAGCAAGGAGCTGTCTGAATGCATTTAATTTCAGAAGCTAACTGAACTCATCCAGGGCTGAAGAAGCTCCATCTGTTTTAGATAATCCTAATTCCATGAGTCTGATTCCTTTTAATCAGATCATGGAAAGGTCATTTATTCAACAAATAGTTACTGAGTGTTTCCTCTGTGCAAGGTGCTGGGACTACCTGGTCTCTAATCTCATAAAGGTTAAAGCCATGGACATATAATTTTTATGAGAGACCTTAAAATTAAGTCAATTATCCAGATTATCTGACTGCTATCTAGTTCCATATGGGAAAGTATAGATCTCACCACAAGAAATCACTCTGTGAAAGCCAGCTGGAGAGGGAAAAGCCTTTACTGACACGTATCTGAACCACTGACGCCAGACGCACGGCTGCCCTGAGAACAGGCATTGCTGAACAATGACTCCGGTACCTCCAGCAGCCGGGCTCAAATTCTAGTTCAGTCACTGGTGAGCAGTGATTTTTTTTTTTTTTTTTTTTTTTTTTTTATCCTCACCCGAGGACATTTTCCATTTTTTTGTTCAGGTAGAGTGGGAGGAAGAGAGAGAAAGAGAGAGATACATCGACGTGAAAGGTACACATCGAGTGGCTGCCACCCACACGACCCAACCAGGGCCGGGGACAAACTGCAACCGAGGTACGTGCCCTTAGCGGGAACCGAACCCGGGTCTCTCTGGACCTCAGGCCA